TCTTTCAATATCTCAAAAAATGTTTACCTGAAATGCAGAGAAAACTTCATTCTACATCAGATTCCAAAGTCTCTGAAGCACAGATATCATATTTTGGGTTTTTTCTAATCTTTTTGTTTTGAGATATAATTTTTCCATTTTCAGATTAAATATCTGGTAGTTTTGGTTTTCTCCGCTTTTCTTTTGGCAATATTAAAATCCCCTGAACAAAGAAAATAGTTCAGCTACAGCAAATATCCAAATTTTTAAATTGTTACAATCCTAAATACTACTGAAGATATGATTGCTTACCATTGCCACCCAATGAACATACTTTAAATATTTCGCAGTATTCATCAGGATCATCCTAATCATCTATTAACTTACAAGTTTTCATTCCTGTACCAACATTCTACTACATTTTCTTTTATGAAGAAAATAATTACTCAAACCATTATTTTCTTTAACCTTCATTTTCAACCCTACAACAAGAACATATACTATAATGCTCCAAGTAAAGAAAATTACTCTCATTCATTCATCTCAAGAAAACCATCTTTGGACACTCTTTGTTTTACAATCAAATAATGCATGTTCATCAAAAAATGAGAAGATAAATTCAAAGTGAAACAGATTCTTCCAACGTTAGGCATGAAATTAGTTTATAAAATACTTTGTGATTATGGTTTACACTCGATATGTTTTAACCAGAACATATATTATAATGCTCCAAGTAAAAATGGAAAGTACTCTTATTCATTCATCTCTTTGTTTTACAATCAAATAATGCATGTTCAGCAAAAAATGAGAAGATACATTCAAAGTGAAACAGATTCTTTCAATGTTAGGCATGAAATTAGTTTATTGAATACTTTGTGAATATGGTTTACACTCAATATGTTTAATTTGTAATTATTTCAAGTAACATCTCAATAACATAGTGCTGAAACGCGATTTTTCATAATGTAAATATCTACCTACGTCAAAAGCTATATATTAAAAATGCTCATATACTTTTAATTCCAAGAAAAATCAGTTGAATGTAATCAACAAATATAGTGAAGAAAATATTTCGACATATTACTGGAGGTCTAAGCTGTAAGTTGTATGTGTTGGTGATAATTACATTGGATTCTTGTCTCAAATACACTTAATTGAGATTCAAAGCTAGAAATTAGTTGCGCATCCACTTTTTCTTATCCATTCTGGAAATTACATATGCAAATTTGCTGAATTTAAAAAATGAGAGAGATAAGAAATAATTATATTCACTGTACACTGTCGAATTACAAGCCATATATATGCTAACAGTAATTACACACAACGCGGGCGCGGTGAAGATTTCCAGTAATTTTCCTCAGTTTTTCGTAATTGATAACTTTGAACATAACCTCTCTTCAGAAAGCACAACATAAAAATAACCCATTGGCAGCATATTCAGTAATGATTTTCTCACACAGCAAATATCACTGGTTTTATACACATGCAGACCAGTACACATAATCATCCAGATGCTATTCAACCAACCTTCTTCTCAGAGATAAAAACTACAGACAAGGACCATTTGGCCTCACTAAACATATGCAACCAATAATGCGTGTAGTTTAGTTGAGTGATTCCTCCTTAGATGGACGTTCACAACGATCCTAGTGAGCAAACGTGGAATGACTGTTTGCGCCCTAAAAGCAACCTAGTTTGCAAAATGGCATCAGGTTTTTACATGATACCCATGCTGCAGGGGTATCACGTATCTTGAAAAGTGACATTATGCCGATTTTTTTGACATTATGCTGTTTTTTTTACATTATGTAGGTTTTTCGCCAAGACGTTGCCTCAGCACTAGCTGATTGACACTTGTCGTGAACTCGTTTGTAGTTGTACGTGTTGCCTGAACGTCATCATGTTTGAGATATCGAAGTTTGGCTATGATGTGATGTATCAAGTGCTTCAGAGATGGCATTATATTGGAGGTCTAAGCTGTAACTTGTATACTATTACTATAGACTACATCTGGAAGGAAACGGCAGTGCATAGGTACATAGTGAGGATGTGCGTGCTAATCATCTGTGCTAATGGTAATTCCATTGGTTTCTTGTCTCAAATAGACTTACTTGAGATGTATTCAAAAGTTGAAATTAGTTGCGCATCCACTTTTTATTATTCAACCTGGAAATGAAATATGCAGGTATGCTAAATTTCAAAAATTGTGAGAGATAAGAAAAGAAAAACGCGGGTTGGTGAAGTAACAGGTGAGAAGATACGCTACAGACAGGAATATTTATGAAAGTGAAAAGGGTATTACATTATTTTTTTATTTCCAGTCATTTAAAGTTTTATAAAAATTTATTTTGCGATGTCAATAGAAAATACAAATCAGCACCTGGATGTGAGGCACTGCGAAAATGTTTGATCTGTGATGACTGATTACTATTTTTTCTTTGATATGGTTCTGAAGGTACGTGAATATACTTATTTTTTAATGATTATAATGGTTCCATGGTTCCGTGATCAAGTAATAATAATTTTTATAAGAGTAAATAATTAATAATATAATTTGTAATAATGCTTCTGTTTTTTATCATTTTTGTTTGAGCTCGTGCTGTGAAAGCCAAAGGGGCTTCGTATGATTTATTGCAAGAGATTTCTGAATTACGCCATAAAGGATTTATTTTGAATGGTAAATTTTATGTTTTTCAACATATGTGATACTACTAATGAAACAAATATCTTTGGTATCAATAGTCATACAGGGTTATTCACCTACACAAGTTGTAGAAGAGGATTTACTATATTTTAACACAATGGTGAACCTATTGAACCACAGTTCGTCACAGTATAAAGCTAAACAATTTCAAAAGTTATTGGTTCATTATTTGTTCCATTCTTGCAGACTCATTTATGTTGATAAACCACAAAATTATCAAAATAAGTAATTTTGGAAGCATAGGTCTTATGGGTTATACCTACAGTAAAATTAAGCCATTTCTAACAGAACCTGTTGAATGTGTAAATTCATTCTTGTCGAAATATTTTCTTCACTATATTTGTTGATAACATTCGTCTTATTTTTCTTGGAATTAAACGTATGAGTATTTTTAATATATAGCTTTTGACGTAGGTAGATATTTACATTGTGAAAAATCACTTTTCAGCACTATGTTATTGAGATGTTACTTGAAATAATTACAAATTAAACATATTGAGTGTAAACCATATTCACAAAGTATTCAATAAACTAATTTCATGCCTAACATTGAAAGAATCTGTTTCACTTTGAATTTATCTTCTCATTTTTTGCTGAACATGCATTATTTGATTGTAAAACAAAGAGATGAATGAATAAGAGTACTTTCCATTTTTACTTGGAGCATTATAATATATGTTCTGGTTGTAGGGTTGAAAATGAAGGTCAAAGAAAATGGTGGTTCGAGTAACTATTGTCGGTACTGTTGCGTCTTGTATAAATTCGGATTTCACTGTTTCATCACTTGAAACTAATAGAGGGTAGTCTGATAAATTATTTTACATCATAAAAAGTGTGGTTGAAGCACGCTTTTCATGAAATTTGTTTTCCCAAAGCACTGTATTTTTTAGCAGTTATTTCCCCCATTATTTCTACCGCCATCTACCATATGACGCTGACGTCTGTGGATATGTCATATATGAGAGGCGCTTGCCTGCTGTATTGACGGATTGGGCTCCGTATTCAGGGGAAAATATGAAAAGTGTAAAATTTATATACATTTATATTAATGAAACACAAATCAAAAAAACTGAAAGAAACAACAGTAGTAAAATTAAAATTGATTCTTAGTAAGTATAAAACAAAAAATAACAAACAGCAGTAAAATAAAAAGCAATTCGAAGTGATTATAAAAAACAAAAAATTAAAACAGTAGTAAAACAAAAAACAATTCCATTTAATTATAAAAAAACAAAAAATAACAAACAGTAAAATAAAAAGCAATTTGGATGGAATGAAATTGTTCTTCGTTTTTCTACTGTTTCTACATTTTGTTTTGTGTTGTCACTTAGAATTGCTTTTTATTCAACATGGAATTGTTTTTTTTTTGTTTTAATACTTTTAATTTTACTGCTCTTTTGATTTTTATAATTACATGGAATTAGTTTTCGTTTTATTACTGTTCTTATTTTTTGTTTTTTATAATTATTTATAATTTATCATTTTTTAACTTATTACTGTTATATTTTGATTTATACTTATTAGGAATCGCCTTTTATTTTGCCACTGTTGTTTGTTTCAGTTTTTCGTTTTTGTGATTCATTAATTAATATACATATGTATATAAATTTTCAACTTTTCATATTTTTCCATAAATGCGGAGCCCAATCCGGCAACACCGCAGGCAAGCGCCTCTCATATATATGACATATGCACAGACGTCTACGTCATATGGCAGATAGATGTCGGTGGAAATAATGATGAAAAGAACAGCTAACTAAAAATACAATGTTTTGGGAAAAATTTTTCATGAAAACCATGCTTCATCCACATCTAAATAATCAGACTACCCTGTAAAAGTTTTAAGAGAAAAAACACTGAAATCGGAAGTTCTACAAAACGCAACAGCACCGCAACTTTTTCTTGATTCAACCTTTTATTTTCCTTTTTGCAAAAAAAAACAATCTTCTGTATCATGATTTGTTTTCTTACAAATGTTGCATTGTTTTAATCTCCCTTTTGTCAGTTTATTTTTACATGCTTTTGCAAAATGTCCAGCTTCACCACAACAGAGACATTTGTACTGCTTATTTTTATTTGATTTTAAAGGAACTGTTGTTTTGAATGCTACTGCATCCTCAGTTTCTTGTGTAGCATTAAGTTGCTCTTCAGCAAGGAGTCTTGCTATAAGGTTTGTTAATGTTTTTTCACTTGCAGGAGTTGATTCTCAAGCAGTTGCAAAGTAATTGTACTGCCTTTGTAAGGTTGACAATATCTTGGACATAATCGTTTCATCTTCGACTGATTGATGTACATTTTTTAGTCTGTATGCAAGATTTTAAATTTTAGAAATGTGAAGAGACAAATCATATTCTTTCTGATATGTCAGATTGAAAAATTCACACAACAATGCACATTTTTTATCTTCAGTGTCTTTCTGAAAAATACTGCATAGCTTTTTGTACATTTCTGCTGATGTTTTACAACTCATCACATGTAGCAGAATCTTTTTATCAACTGTAGTAATTATGTACTTCTGAGCTTTTGCATATTTCTTTTCCCAACATGTCCTGTGCTCTGCAGTTGCCGATTTGTCAATTATTTTTATACCATTCACGATCTCCCACAGTCCTTGAGATTTGAAAACGATATTTATTTGAAACCTCCACATTTCAGAGCTTTCATTATCCACCAGTTTTTCAATATTTGGAGTTTTTTCGTTGCTTGACACCATTTTTGTCTTTCCGGTTTTAACTTTCAGCTGTCAAAGTCTTTGTTTTGAATTCACTGATTTTACTGCTTCCCTTAAGTTTTCTTTCTTCTCATGCTCTTGCGTGAACTGGGCGCATAACCTGTTCGGGTTTTTACTTTTACTTTTACTGTTTCTACAAGAAAAACTACTGCACTTCCTCAGTGAACTTTTATTAGTTCTGAACAAAATGATAAGACAACTCAACTACCCTTGTCAATCTTTCAAACCAGGGCCGTACTACTATTATTCGTCAGAGCGGTCCGGTGGACCTTTACTCTTAGTTAAAAGTCTCGTCGGTCTGTCAGGTCTGGCTACCCAGATACCAAACATGTTTAAGGAGAAAAGGGAAAGAAGGAAAAAAAGGAAGGAAGAAATAGAGCAAAGAAAAGAAGTAGATCATTTGAAATAGCTTAAGCATTATTGCTTTGACTAATACTCGAATTATTTTGTAACTCCAAAAAATAATTTTGATCGGTTTTGTATACTGAAATAATTTTGGCTGGTCTGAATTTACAATTTAATTTTGATCACAGTGCGAGGCGCGGCCTGGAATTTTTGCGAACTTGCTCGACTGTGTGGTCTACTGAATCACGCAACAGAGGGTTGCGCCAGGGCCGTATGCTCCGCTCTTCGGTTTTCATCCGCCGGCGCGCATGACGTCACGCGGAGAGTGATTATCATTTGGGTTGATATGGATAACGTGCACATTTTCACCTACAGGCCAAACGGCTGGACGGCTTTTCACATATGAGGTGTTGGATTCGTCTTAGCGTTGCGACTGACACTAGCTACATTAAAATTTTATACAAAACAAAATGGTGGATTTTAATAAAAGATTTCAACCCTGTAATTCACATGCTATAGCTTAAACGGCTTCTAGCTCCACAATAGAGCGTATCGCCTCTTCACTGTAAAAACAAGATAACTCCATTTTTCTACATTACCTATATTTTAGTATGTTCTGTGGAGCAGGATCAACATGTCCATGTCATAATACTGTACTATATTTATCCTTATTCCACAGAACATCCTAAGTTCATGTAAGTGTGAAAATGTACGCAACTCAAAAAGTAGAAAAATGGAGTTATCTTCTTTTTGCAGTAAGGTGGTGGTATAACAATAAATGGAAATGACTAAGCAACAATTTCTTTCCATTTCCTTAGTACGATTTTTCTGGTCTTTCAAACTTTTGAAAAACAGTTTTTTAGCTTTTTCAGGGCAGTCAATGTTGCAGCTCTTCAACAGAAGTTCACCTATAAAATTTTGCTTTTTTTGTCCCCATTGAATGTAGTGAATACCTTGTTCAGCTTCTCAATTTGATTCATGAAAGTTGCGAAAGGTTTTGATAATCCACCCTCACTAAGATGGTCTATCCATGAATAAGTTTCATTTGAGGAACTTTTCAACCTCTCATCCTGCAATTTATTGCAAACAAAGCCGGCCAAATTTTCCAGCCCGTCATACTCGAGCTCAGCTATTTCTTCCACTAAAACTTGCTCGGTATAGTCAGCTGATACTTCAGGTGCATTCAGTTTAATCTCGTTAATGATGCGGTTAGTGGTTAGTGGACTGTCTGGAGTGTCCTCTGAGTCTACGCTGCAATAGGTACTCTGAGTATGCGCCTTCTTTTTGCCCCAACATATATGACCTTATTCTATACTTAAACTCTAGAGGACTTGTATGGTCATGAAGACCATCTATATTGCCCTAATTACTCCGAAAAAGTTTTCTATCACATCTTGATTAAGACGTCTTGTTAACAGGTATTGGACGCTGAAGCGTCGTTTCAGATCCTCTAGAGCATTTTCTAGCAAACCCTAGCGCTTTTTACATTGACTTTATCTTATCTTTTTGTGATATGTAGCCATTTTTTTGCTAAAGTTTGGGTCTTGAGGAAAACTGTGGAACTTCATTTCATGTCTTTGCAAAGATTCCGTTTAGACTGATTGTCGGAATTACATCCCACAACAGCACACCGCTTTTTTATCAATTTATCAACCACACAGGGTATATAAGGTATGTATAACTAATACAACAAGTCACAAAACCACCAAAAAACACCAACAAATCGCACTATACAGGGTGTCCGCAAAGTTGGGGTTTTCCTTTTCAGAAACAACTACCCTTGAAATAACAAAGGTAATGTTGTAAAACGAGGGCGACCAAGTAAAAAAAAATAAAGAAAAAAGTACTCACTCTCCAGTTGACGAGAAGGGCTAAGTACGTCTCTGCCCGAAATCATACCGCTCCAACAGAAAATGAAATCAGCTGATGCGCTACCGAGCAGACGTAAACAGTCGAGGTATTGCATCCCGTCCAATCGATTTGGGAGAATAAATGGTCCAATGAGCCTACCGTTCACCATGAAAGCCCAAACATTCACCGAAAATGTTTGTTGAAAATGTGCCCGACGGACAGCGTGCGGATTTTCTACTGACCAAACATGAGTGTTGCGAAAGTTATTCACCCCATTACGCGTGAACGTAGATTCGTCTGTCACCAATATGCACTTCAAAAAGTCCGGATTATTGTCATGTTGATGCAACTACCACTCACAAAAACGCACTCTTGCTGGAAAATCGTCAGGTTGAAGGGCTTGTACACGTTGGACGTGAAACGGATACAGCCCCTCTTCACGCAGCGTTTGTCACACTTTAGTTTTTGATACTTGCACTTCTCTAGCCACGTCTCTAGTGCTTGTTGCTTATATATAATTTAGGAATTTTTACAGCATCATTAAAGCGAAAACGATTTGGCAATTATAGACTTTTATGTGGCTGCAATTACAATGTGTCATATGATGAAATTTTAAATGCTGAAAAGAAAATATGGCTGAAGCATATTTTCAATGAAAAGAAATCGTCATTTTCTTTAACAGAAATTAAAACAAGGTTCCAAAACTGCTTAGAAACTCAAGAAAATTTTGATTTCTTGGATACCAAACAAAATCCTGAAGTTTTGGATATATTCAATGAAGTATTTGAGACAAATTACTTAGCCAATTGTGACATAGAGGATAGTACTAAGACTTATATATCTGGATATGCTTCACACGCTATCTCTAAAAACCTAAACTGCGAGATATGCAAATCGCTAATAGTTAAAGAAAAAGGTTCATTAACAACAAATGTTTATTTTGATCATTTGCAAAGAGGAGGACTGTCAATTCCAACCAGTTATGTACCAATCATATTCTACCATATGTATGCCATTTTTGAATCTATTATTAATGTAGATATTTTGTGTCAGTTAACTTTGCTCAGCATTCAGTCTGACTGTTATGTGCGGCAAGGACACATCCGTTCCAGTCTGGTGGTAGATTTATTTTAGTTTACAAAAGTGGACTGTATTTGATTAGGTAAATGAGTGACAATACAAATTTCTTGAATCTAATGATGCGTTCTATCTCGACACCTCCAATGTTGGTCGCGGCGCTTCGATCTCCTCGTGTCTCCGTCCCCATTGGCTGGATTCAAAAACTGTCAGGCAGCGCTTGCGCAGTGGTCGTGGCTGGTACACAGTGGCGCGCGCGCCAAATGACCATTGGCGTAACATAGGCCGCCCCCTTGAAAGCCTCCAGGCTTTCAACACGATGAGATGCTGTCGTCGTCTGGAAGTGGAAGAGCACAAAGCTTGACTACTGGCCTTTTGTACTCTCCAGTTGAAGTTCTTAAGGTAACAGTTCGAGTGATGTGGTCTGGTCCGGGATGGAGTTCAGTTATTCTGCCGATTCTCCATTTCAATGGAGGGAGTCCGTCTTCTTTAACTAGCACCAGAGTGCCGATCTTGAGTCTTTGAATGAAGTTCTCCTTCCACTTGGTGCGATGCTGCACATGTGAGACATATTCTTTGGACCACCTGGCCCAGAAGTGCTGCGTCATTTTCTGCAGTCGTTCGAAACGAGATAATTGGTTTCCAGGAACGGTTAACCAATCTTTGTCTGGTGTAGCCATTAATGATTCGCCGATGATGAAGTGTGCGGGTGTGAGAGGAGAAGGGTCTGAGGGGTCGTCTGATAAAGGGTAAAGAGGTCGAGAGTTCACACATGCTTCAATTTGAGTCAATACCGTATAGAACTCTTCAAAAGTTAATAGCGTTTCACCGACAGATCGTTTTAAATGATGCTTTACCGTTTTGACTGCGGCTTCCCATAGCCCCCCAAAGTGAGGTGATCTAGGTGGTATGAATGTCCATTTAATACCATCAATGGCTAATTTTTCCGAAATGGCATCAGTCCGCTGTAAAATGAATTGTTTTAGTTCTTTACTAGCACCCACGAACGTTGTTCCATTGTCTGAGATTACGTGAGAGCAAAAACCTCTGCGAGAAGTAAATCTTCTGAAAGCAGCGAGGAAACATTCAGTTGTGAGGTCACTAACGATTTCAATGTGAATTGCCTTAACTGCGAGACAAACAAATAAAGCAATGTAAGCCTTGGATAACTTGGAGTTACGCGTCTTGCTGAGCTTAATAGTGAATGGACCGGCAAAGTCGATTCCTACAGATAGGAATGGTCGCCCAGGAGTGACTCGAGATTTCGGCAAACTTCCCATCAAGTATCTTTCTTGATTAAGGCTAAAGCGAAAACAAGAGATACATTCCCGAATAATCTTTCGCACAAGCCTTTTGCCGCCGATAGGCCAAAATTTTTCTCTGATAGATGCTAGAAGACCTTGACATCCGATGTGTTTTAAACGTTGATGTTCATGACGAGCGATAATCACGGAGAAATGATTATTTTGGGGTAGGACGTATGGATGTTTTTTATCATAAGGATAATCAGATATTTGCAGACGACCGCCTACACGAATAAGTCCATGCGAGTCAACAAAGGGAGATAAGCTAAGAAGACTGCTTTTAGAGCAAACTCTTCCGTCCTGGGTTAGCTGTTGAAGATCGATAGGAAAAGAAGATCTTTGAACTATCCTTATAAGGTATGTTAGAGCATTATCGAGTTCAATAGGTGTCAAGGGGCCAGTTAGCTGATGCTCCTTTGACAGAGTCTTGAGTTTGAACCTGCTGATATAGCCAAACACCCGAAGCAACTTAGAGAACGAAGAGAACTTGATAATTACAGAAGAGAGATGATTTTCTGTTGTCGAGAATAATGAAGTGATCTTTTCCTTGCGTTCAAGGAGATCAAAGCTATCGTTTATTGGGCTATCTTTAAAATGGGGCCAATTCGACTGTTCCCGTGACAGCCAAATAGGACCATGAAACCAAAGATTGGAGGTTAGAAAATCTGACGGAGATATTCCGCGCGACAACAAATCTGCTGGGTTATCACTTGTATCGATATAGTTCCAGGAAACAGGATCAGATAAAGCTTGAATTTGAGAAACTCTGTTCGCAACAAACATTTTAAGAAGATGAGGTGATAATTTCAACCAGCATAATACAATTTTCGAGTCACACCAGTAACAGATTTGATCGAAATTCAGCTTCATGGATTCTTTGACAGTTGATACGAGTTTGACAAGGAGAAGAGCTGCGCATAGCTCGAGCCTGGGAATAGTAACCTGCTTAAGTGGAGCTACCCTAGTTTTTGCACAGAGAATCTTGGTATGACAATTTCCTTGAAAGTCTACGGATCGAATATACACAACTGCTCCGAATGCCTTTTCAGAAGCATCTGAAAATCCATGAAGTTCGATAGAAATTGGATTGTGACATATCACGTGTCTAGGAAATTGAACAGTGTTCAATTCAGAGAGCTTTGATCTATAATCAAGCCACGTTGTATAAAGCTGAGAGGGAATGCTTTCATCCCATGAAACTTTGAGTTTCCACAAGTCTTGCATTATTAGCTTGGAGGTGATAGTGACAGGAGATAGGAGACCTAATGGGTCGAAGATTTGCGCTATACATGATAAGATGTGACGCTTTGTGATTTTTTGAGAGGCACTAGTCTCAGCTATACAATAAGTGAGAAGGTCCAGGGTCGCATTCCAAAATATGCCCAAAGTTTTGTTTTGCTGATCTGCACCGATTTGTATAGTCTCAGAACTTGCGAGAATATCTTTGTGGTTTGAGGACCATTTTCTCAAAGGGAAACCATGTTGGTTGAGTAAATCTGTAAGCTCTGCCTTCAAGGTCAAAGCCTGATCCACCGTCTCTGTGCCCGTGAGTAGGTCATCTACGTAGAAGTCTTCAATAATTACACGACAAGTTGAAGGATAAGCTGTCTTATGAATCCGAGCTACTTCATGTAGCGAACGAATCGCAAGAAATGCCGCCGAGGCTGTTCCGTACGTGACAGTGTTAAGTTCAAATGCTTGCAAGTCTTTGTTCCGATCGAACCGCCATAAAATCTTTTGCAGATGGCGCTGATCTTCTCGAACCAGTACCTGCCGATACATTTTGGCGATGTCGGCACCAAGAACAATATTGTGCTTCCGAAAACGAAGTAGGATCGAGAAAAGATCATTTTGGATAGTAGGGCCGATCATCATAATGTCGTTGACCGAATATCCCGAGGTGGACTTGGCGGACCCGTCAAAAACTACCCTTAGTTTAGTCGTAGTACTATCATTTTTCATGACACAATGATGCGGCATGAAAAACCCAGTGTTGTCTTGATTTCGGCACAATGACATGTGCCCGAGATCGATATATTCGCGGATGAATGCGTGATATTGATACTTCAAAGTAAGATTTCGTTCGAGTTTCTGTTCAAGATTAACAAATCGTTTTTCTGCTAGAGATTTAGATTCGCCGAGGCTTGACTCGGGAAGTTTCAAGGGGATGGCAACTACAAAATGGCCGTCGATGTCTTGAACTGTTTCTTTGAAGTTTTGTTCGCACATTTCTTCGTCTTCAGAAAGAAATTTTTTGCTAGGAATCTCCTCTATTTCCCAAAACCTTGTTAGGGTTTTGTCTAAATTGTCTACGCTGAGGTTACAAACGACACGAGGTTGGCATGGTGAGGCTGGTACAGGGCCTGATATTATCCAGCCTAATTTTGTCTTTTGAAGGATTGGCTGATCACGTCCGAGCTTGATCTGCCCAATGGATATAAGATCCCAAAATAAGTCTGCTCCTATAAGGAGATCGATATGGCTAGCTTTAAAAAAGTTAGGGTCTGCAAGAGTAATATTATGCGGTAAGCTTAGAGAGCTTTTGTCAAAACCAACATCTGGCACGTTTCCAGTGATAGAAGGTAGAATCAAACACGATAAAGTAATGTGAAAACCGCTAAATTTGGATCGGATTTTGACAAATGTTCTGTGTGAGACCTTGGTATCTGATTGACCAATTCCAGATATATCAAGGTTAATTTTGGATTTTTGCAACTGTAAGATCTCGCATAAATTTTGAGATATGAAATGATTAGTAGATCCACTGTCTAGTAAGACTCTACATTCATGTGTGTTACCAAATGCATCTGAAGCATCAACAATAGCCGTAGATAGTAAGATCTGATACGATTTGTTCGCATAAGAGTGATTGGAAGATAAAGAAACAATGTTATTATTTCTCGCTAGATTTCTGGCTGGCCGGTTCACATCGGCAACGTCGCGTTCGAAGGCAATGCGTTCTCCGCGCTGGCTCGCGGCACCGCGCTCAGCTGTGGCTGTGGGTGGCAACGACGATGAAAAGACCTAGACCTTTCTATTTACACTAAAACGCGTTGAAAGGATAAATATTAGGGAATTGCAATGTTGCCAGTTACTAGCTGATAGAATTCCTAACCTGGTAGTAAACAAACCTCAAACAAATATTTCATCGTGTAAACCAGCTATTTGGACTCATGAAAATAATAAAATTGTTAACATTCTTGAAAATCTGCATAAGCAATAGTGAAAAGTAGAAAAGTGAACTATTTTCGTATTGAATTTACCGTTAGCGAATTGGAAAGAGATTTCCTTCAGTCACAGAGCTTCAGTCGACATTGGCAACGTCGCATTTTTCTTATGAATGGACATTTTACGATACTATAAAGTGCGTATTTTATGCTTGAGTTGTGGATTTTCACAAACCATTATTTTTGTGCTATTTGCCATAAGTTTGTTAGTGATATTGAACTGTTACCTGTTGAACAATGGTGCGATCGTGTTATGTGTGCAAGATAAACAGCAGTAATCCAGAATCGGCCAATTTATCATTCCATCGGTAAGTAAGGTTATGTTTTCATATCATAGGCGTGGCAATACAAATTTTACTGAAAAAATTATCATAAAACAGTCTTTTACCATCATTTTAGTAACTTTTTGTAGCTTCCTGACGAGTTTATATGAATATATATCCATCACTAGCAGTATGATACAATTTAAAGATGTTCTGGGTGTAGTTCATCAAGTACAAAAATATCCACATACACAATCTTCATGCAACTTAAGTAAACGTGATTTTGCCATGATTTGATTATATTTTTGTGCTAACTAGTTTATAATCATTAGACAGATCATTGGTGTAAGACATGTGTTTACAATTTTAGACTCCCATCTGACCCAGCAAAGCGCATTTTATGGATTTCACTGCTTGGCATTGACTGGGAGAAAACGTTGCCGAAAGTGGCACTGATATGCAGCAAACATTTTCATGATAGGGACTTTGAATATGATTCTGCTGGAAGAAGGCTTTTGAAGGATGGTGCTGAACCAGTAGATGTTCGCTCCATACATGATGAGCAGGAGTATGCAAGGTAAATATGTTTGTTACTTTTTTGAGTTTTTTTGACATGCTATTAATAGCATACAGATATATTTGCCCTATATATTCATATTGATTAATATTTACTCAGCATTTCTATTATCTAAAGTTTGAAGAATTAAAAATGTGTCAAGATTATACTTGTACTTTACTCTAGACTCTAGCCCTGTAAATATTTACTTTGTTATTGTATCCATAAGTATCTTAAACAAACATTATTATTCCAGCTCTGATTCAACAGTGACACTTACTCCATCAAAGGAATCAAGCTCAGAAGCCCATAGCAGTCAAGGGAGCCCTGTCAGAAAGCGGTGAGTAGAGTTCTATACGGACTTGAACTATTCTCATATAATAAGCTTATACTACATATTATTATCAAAATAAACAGATTGGCACAGTAAAATAAGTCAGTGCCTGTGTGCTTCAAGTGTGCTTTAATAAATGCAATTCATACATTCAAGTACATTACCAAACAATTATTGTCAAAACTTATCTAAATAGTATCATGTGTATGTCAAAGGATTTTGGTTGTTTACATGTGTTATGTCCAGTATTTTATGTATACCTTTTATTTTAGATTGAGAATGGAAGAGTTAGCTATACCAGGGCCTTCCCATGTGGTGTGAGTATTCTCTTAATCTAAACCATTTCATTTACTCATGTAGAAAATATTTTAGCTCAAGTCATATTCCTTTTCCTGATGAAGCTTCTAAGATGGTAGAGCCTCCAGAAATGTTGCAGTCATTCACATCATCCAGTACTGCAACTGCTTCTGAACAGGAGTATCAATTGGCAATTAGAGGCAATGTCACCAAACGAAATGTCAGAACACCACGTAAAAGAAGGTATTTGAGGGAGACAAGAACTTGTTTCTTACTAGCTATTTTGTATCAAGATGAAATGATATATAATATTATTTAATGAATAAAGTATATAGTTGACACATTTATCCTTTTCAGGCTAAAACGTTATGTTGGAGATTTATCAAGTGATGACTTTTCCACTCCCAGAAAATCAAAGTCAAATTATCGGTTGATGAAAAGTTCCCTAATGACATTGAGGAAAAAAGTAAAAAGTCTCCAAACAAGTGTTGCTGCTTTGAGGAGAAGAATAAAAACTCTAAGTGGCTTATTGAAACTTTTGAAGCAGAAGAATCACATAACAGATTCAGCTGAAACTGTATTGAAGGTAAGCAGATTGATGAAGACTGTGTGTCCCAGATACCCGAATTCATTTGAATGGAGCAATTGATCAACTTTTTTTTTCAATATAATAATTTTCATTACAACACACACACAACACTCAACATACCATAACTGGTCAGAAGACCAGTTGTAATCTTGCTCATTGAAAATAAGCATTATCATCTTATCACTTTTGCACATATAGCTCCATGATTTTTTTCTTTTAATTATAGCATTTGATATTCTTTTTTTATTCGTATTTTGTTTATTTTGACTAATACTTGTTACAACAAGTATACATATCGTCATCTAACCACAGCAGGTCATGAGACTGGTTATGGTAGAAATAGAATTGAGTATGGGTATGTTCAGTGTTAATATCTTAGTTTCCTGATGTTATTTATCTTGCATAAATGTAATTAATACTAGTTTTAAAATACTCATTCTGTTCAGATTACATGATTTAATTGCATTCTAAATACTTAATATCTCTTTTAGGCATCTCTTTCTGGTATGCCTTTGGAAATCTTTGAAAGAATGTTGAGGGGGTATACTAGCCAGAAATATAACCCTGCCTTGCGGTCATTTGCCCTCACGCTGAGCTTTTATTCCCCAAGAGCATACAATTTTGTGAGGAAGACATTTAACCTTGCTCTACCCCATCTGTCAACAATAAGCAAATGGTATAAGTCGATTGATGGTTCACCAGGCTTCACTGAGGAATCCATTGTGGCCTTGAAATTAAAACAAGGAGAAGCTTCAACCAAAAACTCTACTGTTATGTGTAATTTAGTCCTAGATGAGATGTCTATTCGGAAACAAGTTGAATGGACAGGGAGTAAGTTCACGGGGTATGTTGATATTGGGGCTAACATAGAATCAGATGTTCTACCAGAAGCAAAGGAGGTGTTGGTTTTTATGTTAGTATGCTTGAATGGAGCATGGAAAATTCCGGTGGGTTACTTTCTGTTGGATGGCTTGACTGGTTATGAAAAGGCAGAACTCGTGAAAAAATGCCTAACCTTCATCCACACTTCTGGAGTTACTGTAGCATCATTAACATTCGATGGTGCTCCAGTAAATTTCACAATGGCTTCTTGTCTAGGGACAAATCTGAACGATGTAACAAACTTGAAGACTTATTTTCTCCATCCTATAACGGGTCAAAATGTATACATATTCCTAGACCCAAGCCACATGATAAAATTAGTCAGAAACGCTTTTGGTTCCATCAAATACTTAGGTGATTCTGAAAACAATCAGATAAGTTGGGATTATTTGGTGAAGTTAGTTGATGTGCAAAATATCGAAGGTTTACATTTAGGCACAAAAATAAGAAATCGTCATCTACAGTGGACGAGAGAAAAAATGAGGGTCAAAATAGCTACACAAACTTTAAGTAGAAGTGTTGCTGATGCTTTGACCTATTTATCCAAAGATTTAAAACTAGCGACGTTTGCTAATGTGGAAGGTACCGTAAAATTTGTTCAAACATTTAACGATATTTTTGATATTTTCAACTCTAGAAACAGGTTTTCAAAGTACTTATTTAAGCGCCCACTTTCTCCAGCTACTGCAGATACATTTTTCAAATTCATGGACGAGGCAGTTCAATATATCCATGGATTGCGACTAGGTACTCTCCCAATAATACATTCTCCAAAAAAAACTGGTTTTTTAGGATTTTTGATTTGCATTCAGAGCTTGAAACAGTTTTATAACTTGTGTATTGTAGAAAAGAAAGTTTTAAAATACATTTTGACAAATAAATTATCACAGGATCATTTAGAGCTTTTTTTTGGAGCTATTCGTAGTAAGGGAGGGTACAACAATAATCCCAGTGCAAGGCAGTTTGAAGCTGCATACAAACGATTGCTGGTGCATACAGAGATATCTGGCCCAGACACAGGAAATGTTGATAACCCAGAGCGTTTGACTATCTTATCTTGTGGCAGTGGATATCATATAACCAGGGCGGACGATGGTGAAGATCTTTTAAATAGCCCAGAATTACTTCAGTTTGAAGAAAAAATAAAAAACGATCTTGCCCTTTACCAGTGCACACCTTTTGCATGGAATCTTACAATTTATACAGAAGATGTTGTTTCATACATTGCAGGGTTTGTGGTGAATTGTTTAAAAAAATGTGTTACTTGTATAAATTGTAAGAATTCTTTAGAGGGCGATATTGACATGCCATTGCAAAAAAGAAAAGTTTATGGAGAATTGACAAAAGCCTCAGGACCAGTTATTCAAATTTGCCGCCATGGTGAAAAATACTTTCGTTTCTTCCAAAAGACAACTAATATCTTTAACAAAAATATCAAACATCTCTCGGATATTCTAGTCAATAATACCATACAATCAATATCACCACATATTTTGGGGTATTTTGAACACCACCTTCTTGAAGATGACCCTATTGATGGGCACTGCATATTTCTGATAAAACTGATTTTGAAAAAGTATTTCTCACTCAGAATTCATCACGAAACTGTGAAAAAATCGGACAGTTTAAAAAAAAACAGAATTAGAAGTGTATATACGAAGGCAGTATTATTCAGCCATCAGTAAGATTTTTTTCTTTGTTGTATCTCTCGTAATTTTTTGGATTCTATATGATTCTAAGGTTGAGAAGTATTTTTAAATTATGTACATTTTTGTAGACCTGTAGGTGGCAGAAGTTCAAGCTTTGTTTTTCCCAAAATGCATAGCTAATTAGTAGATTTTTAATTTTCTGGCGACACTGATCATGTATGTATAGGTCGACTACATTTCAGCTGTTTCGCATGTAATTGAAATAATTCAAGATTCCGCAATTTCTACCAATACACAGTAAAATGGAAATATCCCGACTGCATGTATTGTTTTTTTTTCGTATTTCATGTTATAAATGGATACATAAGCTATCTTATAAAATTAATTTGCTATACAAATTTCTCAACACGATTACTACAACACTTTAGGTAACACCCCAAGATTGAATGAATTATTTACAATTATGCTTAATGTGTTGATGTATATATTTTTGATTATATTATATGTAATTAGATTTTATATAAAGTTACCTTTATATATATATATATTATATATATATATTATATATATATATATATATAACTCGCATATTTTCCTTTAATTATGCTATAACTGAGACCTCGTAGATGAATGTCAGACGTTCATTCCATACTGTGATCAGTACGTCAGTATTTACTGATAGATTTCCTTCCGGATCGATGGAATGATTGAATTTCCACATAACCTTATGCAACAATAAAACATGGCATCAATACGCTAGGCTAGACGTTCAATGAATACGACCACATTCCTTGGAAAATACTAACGGATCAGAGTATGAAATGAACGTCTGACATTCGCTTTATAATACTGGCAAAGTAGTACTAATAAGATTTAGAGTGTTTTTTCTTATACTGTTCTTTACTATTATACAAGGAATGGCCTATGATGATTTTGTACCCATTGTTAAATTGGCGAGTGTGAAGTAGCTGCTTGAAGCAACTCTTGTAATTTATGATTTTGTAAAAATGTCAAAATAAAAAGTGTTCCCATTTCACTGTTTGATTTGTTATATACCCAGTATCACTCATACTGCTAGGACGAATCCGAATACCAAAATCCAACAAGCATTTGAGCCCGTGAAACAGAATTTTTGGATATATACATACAAACCAAAAAACATGTGAAACATATTCCTCCTGAGGCAGTCGGGTTAATAAATGTATAAAGCTCATCAGTTTTCAGAGCCTCGTCTGTCGCTGGCGACACTATCATGATTGGTCTGAGTGCATGTGACGTCCGGTTTGATTCATAGTCCTAGTTTTGACCGTTTCTTGTTGTGTTTATGTACACTTATATTTAATTGTACTTCGACGCTATATTTCGGCTTGCATATTCATAATTAGCATAAACAATTTATTTGAGTGACAAATTATTCCATTCCATTATGCATAATACTTTTACATTCATTGAAGTGCCCAAAAACTCCACAAAAATCGATTTCTAGCTATAGCTCTATTACCCCGATTATGATACGCCCATGGCAGTTGACGACTGTCCGCCATCTTCCTCGAGCTGTATATAGTTTTCTGTTGTTTATCTTGTCAACGTTCAGATAGACGTTTTATGAATGAATGTAAATGTCTAGGTCTTTTCATCGTCGTTGGTGGGTGGCGTGGGCGCATCAGCGGCAACGGCGGCTGCGTTATGACGCCCATTGTACTGACGCCGAACGGCAGGCGGCGAAGGAGGCGCGTCGTGTCGTCGAGCGTCAGGTTTGCTAGGAAAGTGCAGTAAAGTATGATGAGGCTTGCTGCAATATTTACAGAACATGGACTTGCAATTATTCACGTTGTGTCCGAATCTCAGACAGTTGATACAAAGATTGAGGCGCCTTGTTTCATTAAAACGCTCTGTGGGGGCTAAGCGAATAAACTCTTGGCAAATATAGATTGAATGATCCCTTTTACAAAACGCGCATGACGTATTTTTGTTGTGTGTAGCTACAAATGCCTTGGGCTTGACGTGCTTATTGAACGATTGATTTTGTCTCGCTTTATCATGGTACATTTCGAAAGATTCCAGATTTCGACACTTGTTTTTTAGAAATTCTGAAAATTCCGTCATGGTAGGAAGTTCTTGCGTTTTGCTCCGCATCTCCCATTCGCGGCGAGTAGCGTTATCTAGCTTGGAGGAAATAAGGTATATGAGTATCGAGTCCCAGTGCGAGACAGGTAGTTTCAAAACCTCCAAAGCTCGCAAGTGTTTCTGTAGGCTGTCTACTAAGTCCCGTAGGTTAGCATAGCCTTCTCGTTGGATGTTAGGTATGTCAAAAAGTGCTTTTATATGATTGTTGACTAAAAGTTGCTTATTTTCAAAGCGTTCCTCCAGTAAGTCCCAAGCTACATTATAATTTTGATTTGAGATTTCGAGAGACTTGATTGTGTCTGAGGCGCTACCTTTTAGTGACAATCTCAGATAATGAAACTTTTGTATGGGGCTTAGGGCATCATTGTTATGGATTAAAGAGCGAAAGGTATCTCGGAAAAATAGCCACTGATCGTATGATCCATCAAAATGTGGGATATTCAAGGCCGGAAGCTTGATAGCCTGCAAATCTGGCTGTACAAATTGTGGAGGGGAATGTAAAGCCGCATTGTTTCCTAGCGATGGGCGATGATCGTTCAAAAATTGCTTGGTTTTTGATGTAATTTCGTAAAAGGCATTTTCAAATTCAGCACGCGCTACTGAATGAACTGATTCAAAATTTTCCTCAAAATTTCCATCTGAATCTTCGATTTTTTCTTGAATTTTGTTAAAATTGTCTAACAGCAATTCGACAGAAGCTAGTCTACATTCCAGTTCTGTGATATCTGGATTAGATTTTTGACTGATGGTATGGAAATAATTATGAAATCGAGTAAGAGTGCCCTTTATGGATGCAAGTTTTTTAGCATTACCATTAGGCATTATGCGTGAGTGAGCGAGAACGAGAATGAGAGTAAATTCAGGTGGGTAACCAAGCCGTAACGGCACAATCTAACGTTAACGACAAATGCGAAAATTTGAGTGCTCCAGGAATAACGAAATAATGTGAAATACGAGAATTTTTAAGCGACAATGTGTGAGCTCAAGGAAAAACGACAGGAATGTGAGATATGGAACGCACCAACCTTTTGTGCGAGTGTGACGATCTTCGATGGCGATTCCCAATGATGGCGGCTTGTTGTAGGTCCCGTGGTCGCTGTGCTTCAGGCCGGCCAGGGCGATTTCAGGAGTTTCTGACTTCGATCCGGCTTGTAGGATCAAATGTTATGTGCGGCAAGGACACATCCGTTCCAGTCTGGTGGTAGATTTATTTTAGTTTACAAAAGTGGACTGTATTTGATTAGGTAAATGAGTGACAATACAAATTTCTTGAATCTAATGATGCGTTCTATCTCGACACCTCCAATGTTGGTCGCGGCGCTTCGATCTCCTCGTGTCTCCGTCCCCATTGGCTGGATTCAAAAACTGTCAGGCAGCGCTTGCGCAGTGGTCGTGGCTGGTACACAGTGGCGCGCGCGCCAAATGACCATTGGCGTAACACTGACTTTATATACAGTGAATTTTCTTGCATCTGTGGCCGCAATTATGCAGATATTTTATCTAAGCTTTTGTCTATTTTTTCAAACATAATTTTGAATGATTATGTAAAATTGAAAAATAACAGTAAAACTGAAAGTAAATGTATTAAAAACAAACAGGTAACTCCACATTTCCAAGCTGGGCCTGTTGGAACACAGTGTGCTGACACCAAAAAACGTAAACTAAATACTTTTAATTAGGTTAACTGCATTAGCGACTCATATATATCACGATTATTTCGTATTTTTAAATTTTTTAGAGCTATTTCATATTCAGACGATTTGTATCGAATCGAACTGTCCTCTTTTCCAAAATTAAATTTAGTTCTTGAACGTTACACGGAGACGGAGCACACAGCCGCTGGCGGCCGACGTTCACAGGTAGCACTACCATGCCGTCCGAGCGCGGTGTTGCCTTTCTTTCATCACGGCTCGTAGTTGACGTTGGCTGTGATTCTCTCCATCTAGTTGCGATGTTGCCAAATCATGGATCGTAATATACCTTAATTTGGTTTGTCAAATTCTCACTTATATACTACACAAAAGTATTTCGGTTATTGTTTTTCCTATATTGTAGTCATAATCTATTTACTTTTTGTGTGTATGTACTTGAAGAATTATTTAAAGTGAAGCTGATGTTACAAAATATACCTAATTAAAATTAAATATATGAGAAATAACTGAAAAAGTAGCTGTTGCAAATCACTAAATAATGAAAAGTTTTTTGATGATTTGATGAAATGATTTTTATTTAACTATAATGTTGGAGATGATATGTTGGGTGGACCTGGCGAGGTGGTCCAAATCGACGTTGGGTATTTTTATATTCAATAACCGCTGGTGCCTTTTGTATTTTTTATGTCACGCGAGGCGCTGGTGCATTTTCCGCTGTTTAGACGCATACTGTTCAAAATTGCATCTAGTTTTCGATAAATATTGGGACATCTTTTCATAAAACAAGCCATTTACAATAAATTAAGACTTTTGTTTTGCAAATAACCTCATTTCTAATTACGTATTTCTCCCAAATAAGGTACAATTTGGCAACAATGGACATCATTTATTTTATCTTTCAAGAAATGAGCGTTGTAAAATGGCCATTGAAAATTGTTTGTACTTTCAAATATTTCTTATAAACGCGAAAACTTTGATCTCATTGATAATACGCGAAAAAAATGATTACGGAATTCCAAGACACCTCTACACAGTTTACCAAGTAAATAGCATCAGTTAAATATGTATTTTGATCTATTATTTAAGCTAATAAGCTAATGTTTTGAACCTTTTTTGCAAAAAATAACGAGTTTTTACAGTTTCACATCTATTTTCCTTACAGTGTATGTAATATTCTTATAATTTAGAGCATCCTTTTGTACAAAAAGCAAAAAAAGACACCATATAAAACAGTATTCTATTCTAGAGTATTACCACCAAAAATGCAACTTCGAAGTTCTATAAAATAGCAAGCAGAGGGTTCCTTAAAGAAAAAATGATATTTTCGTAAAAGTTACATCCTAATCTTTCATTTTAAAGTAAGAAATGAAGTATTTGCGATATGCACTATAGTATAGTATTACCAGTACATCCGTTCAATTTAGAATCTCTTTATCACTAAAGCTTTTTTCGAGCGACCAGGATGCTCCCTTTGTCGATTACAATCACCAGGAAGAAACTGAGTTGTTCTCTTATAAAATTTCACCAATACGTTAGAAGTTATACTAGAGATTTCAAAGTTCATCAACTCAACAAAAAATTTAGTTTGAATAAGAACGACCACAAAACATATACACTGAAGAAGGTTTAATTCCATGCTATTCAATGGCAACACGGTGACTTGCGTGGTTGTCAGCGACCATTTTTTTGAGGGTGGGACATGGTTGCCAGATTGTGCATTAATATCCCGCAACATTGACAGCTCTACACATAAATCTGAGATTGCTATACTTTTATATATAGAAATTTGGCGGGATATGGAAGATCATGTATTATTAACATTTTGCGCCATCTTGACCAATAAATGCTTTTTTTGTATGTTAAAATAGCAGCGTCAATAACACATGCTGTTATAAGATCACACATATCTACTTACTAATCTTGAAAGGTTCAGAAGAAAAACATATACTGCAAATACCTAAATATGTATATATTTATTATATGAATCTCATACATTTTTCTACAAACAAATCAGTATTAACATCATTATGGTCCAGATGTTTTCATTCCCCAGCCTTTGTTGGCACCTGCATAAATCAAAAATGAGAAAAAAATTGAATTGTTTTGGTATGTTATTACACAGATTTACTTTTTTATTAGAACAATATTATTGTCCACGGGTACCCACAGGAATTTTTCTCAGAGGTGCTGATCATCATCAAGAGATCACTGTTACCACGGTCCCCCTGATACTGCCCTGTGGGCAACCATGTTCAATAACAATATGTGGCTTTTATTTCATTAAAATTATAGTGAGCTTTACGTATCAACCCTACTGCTGTGACAATAGCTGATTTAAAACAAAGTATGAAAACTAACTTGAATAAAAAGCACTAGTTATTGAGTCATATAAAAACTTACAAATGTTATGGTCTGCAAATATCCTTCAGAGCTGTGCCTTTTGGTTAGATCAGAAGTAATCTCTGAGCTTCTATTCTCGGGGGTTGCCAACGGCAGCTGTTGAACTTTTCGTAGCACTCCACTGTTCAAAGGGTGATGTGGAGATACAAACAGGTACGATCTTCAAATATTACATTCCTCAAAAGCGTAATCGTTGCATCTCTGATCTTCCTCAGGATCTGCCAGACGCCTGGCTAATGACTTGAATCACCTTAAAAAAGAAACAGTTTTGATGTGGAGTTTGTCTTATAGTATTTACATAGGTATTACAGCTTTGTGTACTTACATTGTTATACTTTACAACTCTGAACAAAAGGCATATAGCTCAAATAACATAATAGGGACTTTTTTTCGATTAAAATGAGATGTTAAGAAAATGACATGCTGAAAAAAGTAAGGTTATATTTGCAAAGCACAGATCACAGGAAGAAACTCGACGGAAATTTAAATCTGGTCAATCAGACAACGTCAGTTGTGAATAAGCCGCCATTTTTTGAGGATGCGACATGGTTGTCATATTGTGCACCAGCAACCCTGCTTTGTTTCCCATTCGCCAATAGAGATTTTTTCGCGATCCCGCAGTGAACAGAGCGGGAAGCGTGGTTTCTAAACCTGCTAGCCTGCTACACTTGCACATACTTGTGAATAAGCCTACTTGCACACACAACGATTTTGGACGACCTATTTTTTAACGGTAGGCTCTGCTTACACAAGCGCCGGTTTTTGACCGGTGGAGTGCTGATGTCCAATATCATTTATAATGAATCCCCAACGAGTTGTTGCAATGCGGCTGAAGTTCCGATCGATCACGCTCTGATCGAAACTGTAAAAAGGCAGCAGTGACGAAAATTTGCCATTACCACTTCTACTGACGTGATTTGGGTCCAAATAAACATAAATCGATGCGGTTTTCACGTAGTTCGATTGTAACTATTACGGGCTTTCTAGGTACTTTAAGAGTTTTATCTTCCTCCTCCAAAATCTTCCTCAAAGTGAGGAGAAACGCGAAAAAATTGATATTACATTAAAATAAACCTGGAGAAATGCGGTTTTCACGTCAATTGATTAGAAAAAGCATCTTTTACTTACGCTAAGTTCAAATCCGTGCTATCTCGTTCACTGATACCGCAAATTGACCCCCCTTTAAAACCTAATATTTTAGAAGCTATATAATCATCTATAGCATTTCAAAACCGCCCAAGACCAAAATATTTTGGACACTTCTCGCATGAATATGATCTAGTCAATCACACCATATCAGCCGTTTCCCCAAACCAAGTCCGGAACCCTCCGTTTTTGACCCCTCTTTATTTATACATGACAAAATTTGAAAAAAACTATTATTCGTCAAAACAGCCGAAGACCCAAAATTTTTTTACATTTCTGGCATCAATATAATCTACCTTATCACTCCCTACTAGCCGTTTCCCCAAACCAAGTCCGGAACCCTCCGTTTTTGACCCCTCTTTATTTATACATGACAAATTTGAAAAAATCTATTATTCGTCAAAACAGCCAAAGACCCAAAATTTTTTTTACATTTCTGGCATCAGTATAATCTACCTTATCACTCGCTACTAGCCGTTTCCCCAAGCCAAGTCCGGAACCCTCCGATTTTGACCTCTCTTTATTTATACATGACAAATTTGAAAAAATCTATTATTCGTCAAAACAGCCGAAGACCCAAAATTTTTTTACATTTCTGGCATCAATATAATCTACCTTATCACTCCCTACTAGCCGTTTCCCCAAACCAAGTCCGGAACCCTCCGTTTTTGACCCCTCTTTATTTATACATGACAAATTTGAAAAAATCTATTATTCGTCAAAACAGCCGAAGACCCAACATTTTTTTACATTTCTGGCATCAGTATAATCCACTTTATCACTCCCTACTAGCCGTTTCCCCAAGCCAAGTCCGGAACCCTCCGTTTTTGACCCCTCTTTATTTATACATGACAAATTTGAAAAATCTATTATTCGTCAAAACAGCCGAAGACCCAAAATTTTTTTACATTTCTGGCATCAGTATAATCCACTTTATCACTCCCTACTAGCCGTTTCCCCAAACCAAGTCCGGAATATAACCACAAC